GCTGGGGAAAGTACTGAAGCAGAATTGCATGGACACACCTTGGATCCTTCTGAAAATTACGCTCATTCTGGATTGTTATATGTATGACGAAGAATGTCTCGGAAAAACGATTTAGAATAGTCAGATATGGCGCATCGCGCGGTATGCAATTGAAAGGAGGAGAATAGCTCGCGAACAATCACGGATCCTCAATGTACCGATTGAGCCTCTCTACTATTACGTAGTGCTGAACGCTGAAAAAGCAGCCAAGGGCAGTAAAGACGGGGAAAAGATAGTCCTGTCTTGGAGTCTGCTTGAGAGGAGGAATGACTCTGGGCGGAGAAAAAAAAGAAGGAAAAGGAGGGCCTCGGGTTCCAAGTTGGATGATCCCGGCTACAAGAAAGGAAGAGGGAAGAGAGGAACGGGAACGGAATCACGTGTCTGTTACCGTGCTCCGCAAGCTTTCGACGCTGGAAACGCGACATGGTGAGAAATTGAAGTGAACCTCATTTTCTGTGTTTTTGTGTTATTCCTTCTCGACGCCCTTTCTGGGTCCTGCCGCTGGAGGTGCATTTTCTCTCCTGATACCGCGACGAAGATTATCGACCAAGCCGAGCTCACCTCACTCCGCCTTGTTCCTGTTGTTTCCCCGCCGTTGAAGCTCGTCCTACCGATTCAGCCGATAACATCTTCCCCAACTCTGTCGCCCAAGATCGTTCAACAATCGCGCCCGAGGTGAAAGGAAAGTGATATCAGGTACTGGTCTCGTCGCTCTTTGAGCCTGGACATGACGGTGGATGGTCAGTGTGGCGCTCGCGGCGCAGTGCACGACTGAGTATACCCTGCGCCATGCCAGGCGTCGTCGAGCCTCCCTCCGGGGCTCCTAGGCCGGACCTAGGCTTTACTGTCGCGCATCAGAAGGTTGAGCTTGAAATCGACTTTGCGACCAAGAGCCTCAAGGGAAAGACCGAGATTACAATTCACCCGCATCACAAGGATCTTCGCGTATTACGACTGAACTTCCGGCAAGGCGAGCTCAGACGTCTGAATGTCAGTGGGAAGGTACCGACGGTCAAATACGTGGATCAGTATGAGACACTCCAACTATACGGCCCTCACTACCATCAACGTCTTTCCGCCAAGATAGACGGACTGCTCAAGACACCGCCAGAGCCCGATTTGCTCGTGTCTGTTCCGAAAAGCGTTCGAATCGATGAACTCGATCCTTTCTCTATCGAGGCCCAGGATCAAATGACCCTACGCGCTACAGGGGCAGCTGATGAGGGGGAAGGGCCTTTGAGCTCTAAGGCAGCAGAGACATCACTTCCGCGGTTCACGGCATTGACATTGTATATCGAATTCGTTACCGACAACATACGAGACGGGCTGCAGTTCGTAGGGGTCGAAAACGGCGACAGACGCTATCCCCATGCCTACACAACAAACTCGCTTGGGTACGGAGTCGGTTGCCCGCTTTTCCCGTGTGTAGACGACCCTGCTTCACGTTGCACATGGGAGATATCGATTAAATGTCCATGCACGCTGGGCGATATGTTCGATCGCAAGCTGCGGGATCAGGCGAATTTGGGCAGTTCCGGCCGGTCGAATGCTCCAGGACCATATATTGCATCGGATGATGAGGGATTGGATGTAGCGGTCGTTTGTTCCGGCGATCTTACGGACGAGATTATCGACCCGAAGGATTCCAGCAAGAAAACAGTTTCCTTTGCTTGCTACTCTCCTCTCTCGGCACAGCAGGTTGGCTTCGCAATCGGTCCATTTGAGTACGTGAACCTGGCAGATTTCCGCGAAAGTGATCAGGATGAACAGCTTGGTCAAAATGCGATTCCTTTGCATGCGTTCTGTCTCCCCGGTAGGGCGGACGAAGTTCGCAATACATGTTTCCCTATGGCGAAAGCTATAGACTTCTTCTCACTGTCATACGGCTCTTATCCATTTTCAAGCTACAAGGTCTGCTTCGTAGATGACTTGCCCGAAGGCACACTGCCAACGGCCTGTCTCTCCATCTGCAGCAGCCACTCATTGTTTCCCGAAGAAGTCATTGATCCAATGTATGATTCGACACGTACTTTGGTTCATGCTCTCGCATCCCAGTGGATCGGCGTCAATATCGTCCCCAAAGAGCCTGCTGATACCTGGGTCACCGTGGGCGTCTCTTGGTATATCACGGACACTTTCATGCGAAAGCTTTGTGGCAACAATGAATATCGCTTTCGTCTGAAACAGATGTCTGATAAAGTCTGCGATCTGGATTATGAACGACCATCAATCCATGACATGGGAAACATCCTACACATAGATCCTTCTGAGATAGACTTCATTGCGCTCAAAGCTCCCCTCGTTTTGTTCATTCTCGACCGGCGGCTTACGAAGGCAAGCGGAAAGGCAACAATGTCTCGGATCATATCTCGGCTATTCTTGAACTCCAGAATGGGCGACATACCAAATGGAGCCGTCACCAGTTCACTTTTCCAGAAGACTTGTGAACGACTTGGTCACGCAAAGCTGGATGCGTTCTTTCAGCAGTGGGTATATGGCGCTGGGTGTCCGCGCTTCCAGGCTACGCAACGATTCAACAAGAAAAAACTTGTTGTCGAAATGATGATAAGACAAGTTCAAGCAGACCCATCAAGTACACGTGATCTCGACAAAAACGCGTTTATGCGTGACGTCAAAGAAGAGATACGCAATGTCTATGCCGGAGTTGTCCAGCCTGTTTTTACCGGTTCTATGACGATAAGAATTCATGAAGCTGACGGTACGCCTTACGAACACATTGTTGAGATCAAAGAAGGAGTCACCAAGTTTGACATTCCCTACAACACGAAGTACAAGCGGCTGAAGAGGAACAAGAGGCAGAAGGAGCGTGCAGCTGCTGCATCGGGTGGTGACCCTAGCGCTGAAGCACAGGAGGACGTCCTGCTATATTGTCTGGGCGACGTATTACAGAGCGAAGAAGAAATCCAAGAATGGAGGCTTGCCGATTGGAGCAAAGAGGACGAAGAGAGAATGGGACAGGAATCTTATGAGTGGATTCGCATGGACGCAGACTTTGAATGGGTTTGCAAGTTATCACTGGCAATGCCAGGATACATGTATCTCTCACAACTCCAACAGGATCGAGATGTCATTGCGCAATTGGAGGTCAGCTCGTCTCATACTTATTACACATATGCACATGCTGACAGTTTACTAGTCGTTGCAATACATGGCGGTTCAGCGCGAGCACCCGCTGATCTCGTCCATATTTGTACGAACTCTTATGGACCGAAGGTACTTTTACGGCATCCGTGTGGCTGCGGCTCAAGCCCTAGTCAAGCATGCCAAGGAAGAAATCAACTGGCTTGGGTTGTTCCACCTTGAGAGAGCTTTTCAAGAACTTTTCTGTCTCCCGGGGTCTCCGATGACTCGCTCGAACGACTTCGCCGATAGAGCTGCATATGTACTCCAGCTAGTCATTCCAGAAGCTATATCCAAAGTACGCGACAACAATGGAAAGACGCCAATGAGGGTGAAGCGCTTCTTGTATGACAAGTTGAAGTTCAATGATAACTCTAATAATGAGGTGAGCCTCCTACCCGTAGTCATTCATATGTATATGCTCATGGTGTCGCAGTATTCGGACAATTTTTACGTCGCGACATTGATGGAGTCGCTTTGCCACGCGATGCTGGGAAAAGTCGAGTCTCGAATGGACGACCTCGATGATTTCGATATGGATCGTGTGCTTGAGACCCAAGCAGAGGATCAATTAGAGAAAGACGCCATTGCAGAGATCGATAGATACAGAAGAATGGACGAATGGTCCAGTTCTTTCCAGAACATCTATTCTCGCGCCGCATTACGTTGTCAGATGCAACTTATGAAAGCCAACATATCGAGTCTCGATATGATGCAGTTCTTGCCTTACACACGAGCTGGCACTTATGACCTTCTCCGCCTCGCCGCATTCGAATGTCTTGTCGAACTCGATCTATTCCGGAGCCCCGAACTTCTGCGGTGGTTCATATTCACCATGTCAAGCGATTCTTCCGCTTTGATTAGGCGACGACTCCATGGCTTATTCGGCAAAGCCCTGGCGCCTGTTGCCTTCGGCCGCGATGTGAACCAAGAACAACCCGCTGATGCCGACAACTTAATTATCGAGCAAGAATCCTCAACTGAAGTCCGCCAAGCGGATCTTGCACGGAGACAGACCGTTATCGGAGCCTTGGGGGCCTTGAAAAACGAAGTATCAGGCGATCAGGTCCTGAAAGAATCGCTCTGGGCTGCATGCAACTCTCCATACATTGGGGTACTGGAACTCTCCGAGTTTACTGATCTCTGTCGAGTCTTATATGATGCTATCACAACCCGTATGGTTACCCTGAAGTATCCTCGTTACTGGGCTGTGAAGCATCTTGGAAGAGTGAGTCCTACCAGCGCGCCAGCACACACCGCGCACAGCGGCTAAGAAGTCCCGCTAACACCACATAGGGTCGATTACACTTCTTCCGGTCGAGCAAAATCCGGACAGCGCTTGCTCCATCGAAAGATTCTACTGCTGCCAAGCGCAAGCGCGAAGACCAGGCGATGGCACCGCCTCCCCCTCGCATTACATTCAAGAGCTCTAAGCTGGGTTCCAGTGCAGCCCCCTTCAGCCCGAGACCGAGCCCAAAACCGAGCCCGAAACCGAGCCCGAAACCGAGCCCGCAACCGACGCCAAAGTTGCACATTCCAAATTTACCCTCCCCTGCGCCCCAGGCGCCGGCACCGAAGACAGCAACTGCTCCCTCAACACCATCTACGCCCAGTGGTGGGGGGTTCAAACTGAAACTGAAATTCGGCCAGAAGCCGAAATAGTCTTTCCCAAAACAAACTCGATACCATTATTTGCCTAATTCGTTATCTCATTGGGACTTCGGAAAGGGGTCAGGTCAGGAGACGCATGGCGCGGGGTTGCATGGATCATTGTTATCTTTTTTGACAATTCTATATTCTAGAAGAACCATCACTCTATTCTGGATTATTCTTAGGTGACAGATAGTTCAGCCGCCTATCTGTTGGATTGGGATTCAGGCTTTGCAAAGGAAAATGATGATTAGTATGGCTGTCAAGGATCATCTCTCCCAGCAAATTTCACCCTCACGAGATTCCACCCTCGAGGCCTTCCAAACTTAGTCCGTAATGAAAATTCTCGTAGCCAGAGAGTCAAGTACATGAATTGTACTCGATCATACCATGCGAGCAAACCAACCCGTGAACTCCTTATTGCATTTCAAAACAATCCCACAATGAAGGTATAAAAAGACATTTCAATTTCAGTTTCCCGCCGCCTCTGACCTCTCTCATTTGTCGCTTATACGCTCCAGAGCCTAAGTAACGCACGTAAGTTAGTCAGTGCGACCACTGGATGACAAGAAGGGATGGGACGAGGATAGAAAGACCCACCTCAAGCATAACAACGGAGTTGCCGCGGATGACCTATGAAACATTCCCAATATCAGCTTTTCTTCTGGTCCTGATCTAAGTCTTGGAGTCAGGAGGTCCGAGCTAACATACCACCATGCCGATAGCGACCTTCTCACCACCTTGCTTCTCTTCGAAAGCCTCATCGAGCACAATGTTCATGAATACCTGCCATGCAGCCCGCCGTTAGCGACATCCCTCTCAAAAATACAAGAAGAGGCATTTGGGACTCCGCGTGAGGAAACAAGCATCCAGGGGTCTTTTCTCCGTGCTCCGTGATGCCTCCACCCCATGATGGAATCAATCAAGAATATAAAAACGCACATCGTAGCCGCGCAGGATACCAATGACTTTGCGGTTGCCGTTCAGTTGGCAGAATACCCGCTTCTCCATGTACTAGATAGAGAAAAAGACCTTGTCAGCAAATCACGATTCAGGGATAGATTGGAGCTCGAAGTAACAGATCATACCTTCTTCAATTCCGGCTGAGCTTGAGGCATTTTGGGCTGATTTGATCGGGTGGATCGTCTATTATATCCCGCTGTCGCGTTGCGGACTTTTGACGTACAGCGAGCGGGCGGCGTAGGAGGAGGAGGGATAAGCTGGCCCGGATAAAGGTTGTTCCCGGGGGAAGCTTCCAACGAAAGAAACCGGGGGCGGCGGAAGTGGAATCAGTGACGCCAGTGCTTGTCGGAGGCCGCTACTGTTGTTATCCTGGACGAGGGAGAGGACTTATACGGTCGGGATCTGTTTACAATGAGCTTAAAGGTTGCTAATCGCCGAAAACCTCGCAAAATCGGAGGAGATGACGAAGATAGCGATGGCGGGGAGCAAGGTTCGTTGTTGAAACATGCAAATACTGCTTTAACATTCTAGCAAGGACAGTGGGATCTGACTAGTTCTAGACTCCGGACCCGTTGTCAAGCGTCCGTCGAATTTCAAAACGAAACAAAAGTCGAAATTGCGTCTCTCCTTCGGTCCCGGCGAGACGTCGATGACGGACAACAGCGGCGATGGTGAGAATGAAAGTGAGGTAGTAATGCCAAAGCGACATGGCTTGGGCCGACGGGTCTTGGAAAAGAGCGCCTTTCAGAGGTCATTAACTCCGTCTGGGGCTGGCAATCCTCCTTCCTTGAGGGTTGGACCCGAGCAAGATCGGCCGAGCTATAGTCAGGACTATCTAAAGGAGCTGCGCGAGTCGACCCCCTCGACCCCGAAGGCGACAAGCACCGAGGAAGAGGAGAAGAAGGAGAAGACGATCGACGTGGCTGCCAAGTTTGGAGAAGTGATGAAGGTATCAGCGCCAGCGGCCATCCCCAGTGAAGGGGAGATTAGGGAGAAGAAAGCTCGGAGAGCACGTCTCGCTAAGGAACATGGGAGTCTTTCGACCACGGAAAAGGACTTTATCTCTCTTGACGTTGGTGGCGATGATGATGATGATGAATGGGATTTACAGGGTCGACGGGAGCAAGCCGAGGATACCAGATTGGTCCGTGACGACGAAGATTTTGCTGAAGGATTTGACGAGTTTGTGGAAGATGGTCGCATCTCCCTTGGAAGGAAAGCAGAGCGCGAACAGCAGCGACGGCAACGCGAGGAGATGCGAGAACTTATCGACGACGCCGAGGCACTCTCAGAAGAAGACGATTCGGATGTGGAAGAAAAGGCGGCCTACGAAGCTAAGCAAACACGAGCTGCGATGGGCAACAGTCATCGGGACAGTATTGGTCGGCCAAAAACACCACCTAAAGTTACCTCGCTTCCGCGTCTTGCTCATTCCCTTGAGCGACTACGTATGAACCTCGCCGTCCTGGAAAAGTCCAAAGCCCAGATAGTCGATCGCATGGAAGAGTTGCGGAAGGAGAAGGCCGACATAGCTGTCCGCGAGGTGGAGATCCAGGTCCTGATAAAAGAGGCTGGCGATACCTATGAAAAGCTCAAGCAGGAAGCTGAAGCATCGTCAGGTGTCGAAGGCAATCAATCAGCAGCTGACGACTTTGCGAACTCCCGCGGTTTGGAGGGCCTGGGCGCATCAATGGCACCTTCGACGGCAAGTAACTCGGAACAGGAACCCTGAAGGCGTGATTACTTTATTTGTTTCTTCGTGTCTGGATCTCGTCCATTGTTCTTGCCCTGACAGACCGACAAGGCCCTAGCTGCAACACTTCTGTTGTCAAGCCTTTGCTCATTATCCTACTGTCTATCGCATCATGACCGCATGTTTATCTTTCTGTGATACCCACCCGCATGAAAACTACTCTATGCCTTGTTGACCCGGTCGAACATGGCTCCGCCACTCTTTCTCTCTTGGTTCCATCAACCGTTGCGTAAGACCGAGTGTGTTGAAAAAGAAAAAGAAGAAACTGCCCCGTAGGCCAGCCTATTTGCATCTCGGCTTTGCTTCCACTGATTAAGCAAGATTTAGATGTCAGCGAAGTGTTATACCGTTCATTGAATCGCCTATCGACGAGACAGATGGAGAGCTTCTTCACCTCTATCATCATTCTGATGCAACTCCAATTGAATTGTTCCTTGACCTCTTCTTCGTTGCCAACCTCTCAACTTTCACAGCTACGCATGAGATCAACAATGTAGATGGTTAGACTTGAGATTCCCCCTTAACAGCTCGTGTTGACCCTGATCTAATGAGTCCTGGCAGCGTTGGTGGCATATGTTGGCTTTCTTGGGGTGGTCTGGTTCACCTGGTTCCAAGTGACCTTGTTCGATATTCGATTCGCTCGCGACTCGATCTTTGAGCGAATCTGTAAAGCTATCCAAATGGCCGTGATGGTGGAATTTGCGTCAGCAGGGACTCGATTTACCACACAAATGCAAGACGAGAACATCTGGGCATTCCAGTCATTGAGCCTGATACTCGGTGTCAGTCGGCTTCTGCTTTCTATACAATACACTGTCGACGCCGTCTTCCTGAGCAAGCGTATGAGGTCTGCGTCTAAAAGAATTTATTTTATCGCCGCAACCTTATTTATCACGGGTTTCATCTACTTCTGGGTAAGCACTCAAAATATAGAACATGCATCGGCATGAGGATGATTGGGAAACTGACCTGTCACTAGATGTATTTTGCCTTTCGCAGCCGAGGTGTGGACGGCACATATGCCTGGATTGTTTGGTTCGTTCTGTTCGCCATAGAGATGTGGGTAGTCATGGGGACGTCTTCTGTGAAAGCAGGGATCGGTCTTCAGGACACTCATCTGAACGTAAGGATGGGGCTACTAACCCTGATAATTATCGGTGAGGGCGTCATCGCTATCACAAGGATTGTTAACAAGACAGTCGGACCGGGAGGATGGACCAAGTGGTCGTTTGCCCATATTCTCGGCGTCACGACTAGTGTGGTATGGATCCAGCCATGCTCTTCCCCGTCGAGTCCGAGACATGCTAACTACTTGGGAATACTTAGTATTTTCTATGGCAAGCGTACTTCGATCTCTCCCCACGGCGTACCATGGGCAAGTTTTCTCAGCAGATCTGGGCCCAGCTCCACTTTCCGTTCCATGTCGTTCTCATTCTTCTGCTCGAAGGCTCTCAGATCCTTGCCTTGACTCTGGACATCACTCTGAAGCTCAAGTATCTGACTGAGACGATATTATGGACCTGCGAAGAGCCAAGACCCATGGCAGAAGAGGCCATTCATCTGCTGCGCACGACCATTGCTGATATGGAGATCAACTACAGCCGGGGCGCGATCAATGAACAAATCTCGATTTCCCAACTGTTGGACGATCTTCCGTATCAGCCACTGTGCCCATCGGATGGGCCAGATGACTTCCCTGCCACTAGTGACCTTCTCAGTAACCTGGTCGGAAATGTTACAGCGGCTTTGTTCTCCAGCATGGGTATCATGCCCTCCAAGAATGCAGACATTGGATCGATGGGTAGTGATCGGTTACTGCGAATGTACATGGAGCTCCTTAGCTTTGTCTATATCTACTACTTTGCGGTGGCAAGTCTGGCCATGTTCTTCTTTGCTGCATTCGTCTTGTTGACGCGTCGCCATGCCCGCGGTATCTGTGCTGCTATCAGTGTGGCAGTGCGGGTCTGTTTTGGGATATTCTTAGCCGGTCTGATCGGATTTTCCCGGCACTTTTCGCTCGTTTACTCGTTCATGACATCTCCGGCTATTCTGTATACCTTCACGCTTATTCTTCTAACTGGTAAGTCGAGATCCCCTCTTTCCGTGCAGTTGAATTACTAAGCCATGTCACAGTGCTCCTAGTTGACCGATTTCTGGACCGTCATGGTGAGCGCATCAAGCCCCAAATGGGATGGAAGCAGTCAATCGAAGCTCTTTGGTAGCCATTTCGGACGATGGAGCTGCAGGAAGGCTTCTGTGACAATCATTTCTACATCATTTCTAAGGATGACTGTGACAAATACAGTTCATCCCCGGCTGTCGCCACTTGTGTTTGCAAAAATCCATTCCTATTCCATTCTATTGTGGGTCATTGTGGGCAAGGGCCACAGGTAGAGCACAATAGGTGCAGTATTGTAGCAGTAGAACCTGTGTCTCAGGCCGTAGTGATTGCACTCATCTGATAGATGACTCTCAACCCGCCGTAACCTTGTCCCTCATGATCAAAGAACAAGATGACACGCCACTCTCGCAATGGTCGCGACGGCTAGGATGAATGATCCGTTGGCAAACTGGGTAGTCACCCACGGGAAGAGACATAAGAGATCAAAACAGTCTCGTTTGAAGACCCCCCCCCAACCTCCCCATCAGTGCTCTGCTTCGTAATTTCTCATATCTCGTAGAAAGATAACTGAGAGTTGGGACAAAGGGGAAGCAAGAAAGTAAGAAGCACGCTATCGGTCCGCCTTTCCCCCATCCCCGGAATCATTGGAAAAGCAACCCGAGCAAGAGGTAACAGTCCGATGGGACGGAGAAAGTCCTCCCCAAGGATGAGTAATGGGGAGAAAGCGAAAAAGAAAAAAAAAGACCACAAAATTAAACACGGAAGTAGCAGGGGTCCCCGGACTTTGGGGTTGGAAATGAAAAAAAACCACGGTAGTGGTTCATTTCCCTGCCATTTCTGTGTTTTTTTTTCTACATTACATAAAAATTCTTCGAACATTTAGTGAATCTGATAGGTAGGCTTCCAAGTGGACTGGTAGCTATACCCTACGTACAATCAAGAAGTGACCAATCAAATGTTTTCCTCCAGGCATAACGACTATGTCCTACGAGTAAGTACACCTGGCGAGTACTATCATAGGTACTATGTACGACTGTAGACTACAACTACCCATGTACAGATACCCTGGCCGTGTCACCATTGGTACCCAACGCCGAAAAATTGCTCAAGGGAGATTGAAACCAAGAAAAGAATCAAGTGGGATAGGCAATGACAACATAACTGTAAGCTTCCGAGGATGGTCCCGGTCTGGGGTCTGGGGTTGGATGATGAATAGATAGATAGATAGATAGATAAAACGTGATCACCAGCTTTATCATGGGATGGGCCCGAGGACAGGGATGGGGGAAGGGGGCCCAGCATGGCCAGGATCAATGATCCTAGAAGCGGAGAAAGAGAGTGAGAATCTATAATTGGTAGTAAGTTTAGTGAGTGAGTACTGGGCGGAGCGAGGATTTGGGGATGGACGAAGGAAGGAGCATAACGCCTACCGACAGGCGCCGCGCCGTGGCCCCATCAGCGCCAGCATCAGTGGTCACTAAGCTAATAACAAAGGTAAATGACGGCGGGTATGTAGAGCGGGAGGGAAGGAAGGTATGCTAAATAGGGCCACCTACAGGTAAGCAGGCAGGCAGGCAGGCAGGCATCCAGACCGTTCCTTCGCATCGTGAACGGGGGGCGCTGAGAAAGAATCGATAGGCCGAGCGATAGGTCAACAGCATCTCATCTGGACCTTTGGGGGGGGGGTTAGTCTAGTCTTTCGTGCGTGATCTGTCTATCTGTCTGTCAACCCACCGGGTCGCAAGCTCCGACTGTGTGTATCACCGTTGGATTGTTGCTGATTGGGTCGGGAAAGGCAGGGACGTTTGAGGGCGGGTTGGATGGAGGGATATGGGCTATATCCTGGCTGAATTTGGTTTGGATCACGGGAGTTCATACGCGAAAGAAGGAACCCCCTTCTTCGAGAGAGCTCTGGTTTTTTAGTATCCCGGATTTGGACCACTCTTTCCCCGTCCCTTCCCCTGTCACTGGCCATGGGTTGGTGATCAAGATCGGAATTGACCTGCAGATGCAGGAACGTTTCGTCGTCCGTTGTGGAGTGGAGGGAGGCTTGGGGGAGCAAGAGAGAAGCTAGAGCTGGCCAGTCGACAAGTGACCAGAAAGTAGTAGAAAAAGCAAAAAAAAAATATCGGATCAATAGAGATCTATTCACAACACAAAGAGAGGGAGACCAGGTACGCTGGCAGATCTACCGGGGAATTGTGGTGAATTCTCCGATCAAACGTCGCGGTGGATGAAGTAAGGGAAGCGGACAAAGCCCTATATGTAAGTATCCGAACTGGTTGCCAGCACAGCCAAACCAACCACACCCAATCACAGATGAATCCCAGGTTAATGACAGTGGAGTCTCATCCGGGGTCCCAGAAACCTTGAAGAAAATGCCCTTGACAGTTGGAAAATCCTGATTCAGATCTGACCAATCGACTATCGATCCTTGCCAGTCCTGTTCTTCGTCGCCGAACGCCACGAGATGATCTTCTATTCGGCTTATGACCCTCCTTCCAGATGAGTTCCATGTTGAGCCTTCCGTGTGGGAGCTTGATATGAGGAAGAGCTGGAATGAGAGCTTGGTCGTCGAGGTTTTAGGCCTTTTCGGTCGGATTCCACGCCTTTTCGGCAAGCCATTCAAGGGGACATGCTTCAGTCCTCAATAACTAGGCCGGGGAAGCGGAGAGAGGGGACAAGAAGGATTTCGTTCTGTACAGGACAAGGAATGTGGCTCCGGAAGTGTGGAGGGACCTCAATACTCATATCGCAGCATCACGACTGTCAGGGATATGGAATTAGAGAAGGACTTAAGGGGCACATCGCTTCTGCTCTTCCTCGATGAGCTAAAGACTGCCCTGGAGATTTCTCGAGAGCTACTATCTTTTTTCTTCAAGTGTCAACGTTCGCGTGTTGGATTAGAGACAGTGTCTTGAGCTGAACGCATTGTATATTGTGACGACCCCATCGCGTCCGCTGTGCTGGAGCCATAATACTTGCCACAAAGAGCGTTGACAGTGGACCGAGACATTGTTCGCTGTTGGACCAAGTGGCGGAAAGTGACCAAGTCTTGGATACCGGGCTGTTCCTTGTCCCTTCCATTATCATTCACGCCCACTGCCATCTTTCTCCGTGCTTTTTGTTTCTTTCGACCGAAACACAGCAGGGGCTAGCCTTTCGATTGGGACTCGTTGAGGGTAAAGGCATTGCAACTGAATCTCGCTTCCGAGTGCAACAGACCAATCGCCTGGTCTATGTTCTGAGTAAGTTGACCGCAACTCTTCAACAACAAGTGAAACCTCACCATATGAAGTTCGATGTGCTGAGTGACTGCATCGCTGCCTGCAGGTGCCCTGGCTCGCCCGACAACGCGCATGATACGACATCTAAGTCCAATTCTCGCTATTCCAGGAGAACATACGAGCAGTCAAAGACTGGAGCGGTGAACTGAGCAAGGAAGTGGAGCGTGGCATCTTAAAAAACGCCGCCTATCTTTCCTCGAGAAGCTCGATAGCTAAGAAGCAAGTCACCTGGCAAGCACCTTCATTTAATGTCACGCTCTGGCAAATCTTGCTGAAGGTAGGTTGAATACACTCCTGTGTTTTGTCAGATATTCTGCGAGTTGAGTCTGATACTGTTGCCTGATCAGCCCTGTTGTCGGAGTTCGCTGGGTCCAATGAAGTTGACCAGCGTTGTTCGAAAATCATCGAAATGACAAACACCTATATGATGATCTCAGACTCGATCAAAGAGAGAGAGATCTCCTACTGGTCGATCTTTCCTTCTACACTCGATTCGGCCAAGCGTGAAGAGCCACCTTTTCACGGTCTTCCTCTTCCGACATTAGCGGAAGCCTGTTGCTCGTACATGCCTGCCAAACGGAGTCCCTTGCTAACGGACTGCAATCAACTTGAACACCTTGGGGTTGTCTCAGAGCCGCTGCAGAAGGCACCTGTGGCTTGTTCTCCGGCTGTATGCCTGGACGATGCTTCTAGCGCTGCTAGTCCTCCGAACATCAAATTCGACACGAGCACCGTGGCCAACGAGCCGTTCTTGTTTCCACACAGAGCTTTAAGCTCAAAGCAGGACCTGGTTGCGTCTGGCGTTAGGGATAGTGAGTGCCTGCCCGCCGATCACCTCATTAGTGTCGCGCATCAAGAGCCTGGAATAGCCACCAGCAACAACGATGCTGAAGTCCCACTGCCGAAAGTCGAAGTACCATGGGATTATAGCTCCGTTGTGACATTCAATGATAGCTTTAGAAGCGCAGAGGAGACGAAAGATACCACCAGTGCTCTCACCTGGTCCATACCTGAAGTTTATCAAGTGGGATGTGCAACGCATTCGAGGGATATCAGCCACGATGAACTGGCATATCCCGCACCTTGTGTGTCCAGCGCAACAGCCCATTTATGCAATGATGAGCTGAGTGGTACTTTCGACCAGCTGATTTCAATGCCGGATCACTCTCCAGATGACAGTTTTCAGTCCAGCCATGACGGGTGGTCGGACATTCCAAGTCCATTAGCTGGAGTCTGTCCTGGCAAAACAGGCTATCCTGACATGCTTCCGGTCCCGGAGAGACAAATGACAAGTCAGGCACCAACCTACTATCAGCCTCTTCCAACATACTCTTATCAACACCAGGACTCGTCTACCTTTGCTCCTTCACATCATCCGCTCCCCCCTCCATTCCAGCCGCAGTTATCCCCAGCCAACGGACATGTAGCGGTTGGGATAGGAGGCGCACTCAGAGAATCCACGATGCGCGGATCCGATGCCAAGAACAAGCTCTTGATCAAGTACAAGCAGCAAGGCTTTTCGTACAAGACCATCAAGGAGGTTTGCAACTTCGCCGAGGCCGAATCCACCCTTCGTGGCAGATATCGGACTTTGACCAAACCCAAGCACTCCCGAGTGAGAAAGCCGCAATGGCAAGATAGAGATGTAAAGTTCATTGATCCCCACCCCCCTCCCTATTGTTGGTTGCGTGATTCAACTGTGAGCATAATCCCATATATCGACCTTGAGTTTCTTACGTCCGTTCCTGTTGCAGATTCAACTTCTTTGTGAAGCGGTGACTCGGTTGGGACACGGCCGACAGGTGTCGCAGTGCCCGTACCTCTTCGATTACCAGTCTCGAAATCCCACCCTTGCTCAGCCGCCGAAGGTATCCTGGAAACAGGTGGCGCTCTATATATATGAGAACGGAGGCTCATACCTCTTTGGGAATGCGACGTGCAAGAAGAAATGGTGTGAGGTGCATGATGTGAAGTGTTGAGTGAGAATAGAAGAAAGGAAGGTTGCCGTTGCCCGGCGGAAGATGATAGATGGCCCGGCTGACTGACTGACCGGCTGGTTTATTGACATTTCCGGTTCGTTCTTTCCCGGCAGGAACATCGGGAAATTATTTCCTGTCTTTCAGTCTGTCTGTTCGCCTTGCTCTGAATGACTGGATTGGAAATAGAAGAGGGGGGAGGGGTCTCAAGTGTAGAACTACGATGTAGAAATCGCTTGCGTGGGCGGTACGGGGCCATCTATACAGCCAATTTAGCAGTCAATCTACTCTTATATACTACAGTCCCTTTCCGAAAATAAACCAATGGTATTATATCTCTATCACGTAAGAGTAGGTATGACACAAAAGTTTACTCCGTAGATATGTGCAGATTCACTGATGCATATGTGACTCATCTAACCAAGCTAGCATAATGCTTCACACCTTATAGCTGCGAAACCTCCGGCAGATTCAACTGCGGAAAGCCAATCGTCGAAAGTACGTTGCTCAATGACTGCGGATTGCGGCGCAACTCGGTCCATTCGGCCTCAGCCTTGACCATGAGGGTTCCGGCCAGGATGGTGCCGTTCAGGGCGACCACTCCAGCCTCGGCGACATCCGCACTGGCGCCAGGTTCAACTGGGACGTGTGCGCTTTCCCTTCTCCGGGGGCAGATGATCATCGAGGACTCGGTCATGGCGAGATTATAGCTGACGGCGGCGGGGCCGGTCGTCTCTTGGACGCGGCGATTGCTGTTGCTGCTGTTTGTGGCAGCTGCTGCAGCTGCAGCTACCGCAGCCCTGTACAGAGAAAGATATGTTGCGAAGAGGGTCTCGCTCGAGGGGTTTGGCGGCAAGGGGAGCGCGAAGTGGGCAAAGGGAACTCGATCCGACCGCCGATAGCCACCAGACCCGCCGGTGGCTGCCGGTTGCGCGGTGGCGGCGACAATATCTATCAGAGGCCGCCAGTCGTCCGAGTGCTCCTGTTGTTGCTCCTGCTGGGCCATCGCTTCCACGGGAAGGAACTGCAGGTGCCTGTGCGGTTGACTCGCGCCACTCTCGTCGCCCGAGTTAAAAAAGGCGAACAGCTTCCTGCCGCGCGCGGAGGACGGAGCCTCTGCTTCGGCCCATGCTTTGACACAGGCGTAGGCGGCTGCGAGGTCTTCCTTCTCCAGAAGATCCGTCTGGGCTTTCCAGGCTTTGGTGGCGATGATGAAGTGGTTGGGAATCACGGGAAATTTGTTGAGGACCAAGAAATGGGTCGGGTTTTCGCGGGGGATCTGAGCTATTAGAAGCTCCGGTGACGGGTTCTCGAAGGGATCGAACTTCGGTCCGCTAGGGTTGGCGTTTTCGTTCTTCGGGGTACTCGTCGGCTTCTTTGCGAGAGCTGGACAGTAACGAAGTTGATACTAGGGCAAGATTGAGTGAAGGCGTCAGCAAAGCTTGCGCGTAGCCCAGGGATTGATGGCACAAGGACATGATTTACCGGTACCCCCGAAGCATGGAGTGTCACGAGCTGGGTTGGAGAAAAGAGGAGATGGCCAGCATCTTTGGCGGTTGTGAATCGTCGACTGACCAGAGCCGGAAGACTCTCCGAAAGACCCAGTTGCATAATGTCGAATGTGTGGTGTCGGATGCTGTGTTGCAGCTGCTGCAGTCCTGGCGGAGTGCGGAGTTGGAGAATGGCAATGACGACTTCCTCCAGCGCGGCGGGATGAGGCAAGAATGCGGGGCAGGAACGGCTAGCCGAAAGGAGATATTTGGATGCAGGCACGGAAATTCAGATTGCGTCCGGTATACAATTATCTACAAGCATGATGCATTGATATAGAACAGAAAAGACTGTAATCTGCTTTCAGAGACTGTCATTTCCATCTACCATGTGGTTGCAAACCTAATTTACCTCCAGCATATCTAGCAATCTCCAATCTACAAAGATCGACCACGTGCTCATATTTCGAAGTATGATAAAAAGACACAGGAAAGACAACTCATAAATCATGAGCGCCATAGCTTGAGTTGCATGTGGGGAATGAATAGAGTCTACACATGTCTAGGTGTCGGCGTGTGTGGCCTGGTAACGCCGGGTCACGTGACACCGGAAAGAGAAAACACCACGTAGCGATAGCCAGTTCCTCTTCCACACCAATCAACACAATTTGAATGGCCTCAGCCTTCCAGCCCTTGTAGCGTATCTTCCGATAGTAGGCATATCAAACACATTTTATGCAGTGTGGTTATGTGTCGTGGTGAGTACTAGCCACAATATATAAAAAGTGCGGAGAGCACGATCTCGCTGCATAAATCTTGGGCGCTCTTGTACATGACAGCTCGATCAATGACAAGGGTGCTATTTAGTACACAAACTCTCGAAGCCACACAGAAGACAGTTCTCCAATCCTATATTTCCGAGTCTGTTTAGAGCACTAGATAAATCTAAAGCCCTAACCAGTTCACGGTCCAGCACATATACAATGTCACTTGCATCCCTTCTTTCGACACACCTAGTAAGTATTCCCATGCTTCAACGATATGTCATGTCCTGACTCTATCATCATCAACTCAGATGATGCTGTGATATCTCACCCATCGTAGAGTCCAGACTACCTTGAATGCTTCCAGAACATGGTCTGGAGCTGTTCTCGTAACCTATAATAACCTATACTCAAACCTCAGCAACGGCCCCAACCAGTCACTGTATCAACCACGACTCTACGTGTTAATATGTCCAAGAATCCAGAAACGGGATGCAGAAGGAACTTAACGCTCTAGCAATGCATCAAGTCATGTACATACTGTACGTCGTATGTGAAAAGGAATGATCACCTTATGATCTACGATTGGAACTTCACACACATATTGTGTATAGTACAGTACATACAGTACATACAGTAGGCAATGCAGGTCCAATCCGGCGCGGCCGAACCAAGAATTTGGAATTGGCTCAGCCAGCCTCTTCCCACCCCGTCGACTGCACTTAACCCCAACAAGTATGGCTCGTGCATCCTTGCTCCATTTTCCCTATCGGCGCGGCCGGGGCGTTCCCACTTGCCAGTCATTTATTCTTCCCATCCCAGAGCACGTTTACCGGGGATTAAGCCTAACCCCCCGGGTGCCCGCCCTCTCCCGCGTCTGGTTGTTGATAGTCAGTTAGCTCCCTCTTTGGCCATGTGTCACTCACACTAGACTCGGGATTTCTTACACTTGGAACTGTGGAGAGTCGACCGGTGTCGCTGATCGCGATCTTGGTGATAAGTGGGACCCCATGAACTCCATCATGTTTTCGTCACCATAGTTAGGTAACCAGATGATCCCCGAGGATCTACCTCGATCACTCAAAGAGTGCAGTAGTGAGTGGACATACTTAACTCTTTCGTGTGCTCATGTACAGGACTTGCAGGTATCTGCACCCAGCAGCAGCAGCCAATCAGTTAAAAATTGGCAAGGCATAAAAAGAATGTATGGTTCGGCATCTGCCGTTGCATAGAGCAAAGCACTTACGTCCTTTGCAGTCTCAAAATGGGCGGTTGTGGCAGGGGTGCGGTGAGTTCAGCCACGTCTTCAGCAACCGGAGTGACGTGGTGTCAATCAGTCAGTCAGTCTGGAGCGTTGTTTGTGTGTGGATGAGGCTCTTTGTATGACTTTGAATGCTAATGTATCATTGTTCTGAGCCCGCTGCCCCTCCCTCGGCTTCGTTTTGAGAAACAATGCTTTGACCCACGAGTATAGCCCCCTTCAATGGAGACTTTCAAAATTGGTCACGAGATAAAGAGGGTCTGGACAGTTTTGCTTCAGTGGGACGGATTTTCGGCCGTAGTTGAGGTTTGTTCTCCTGTTGAATTATTCCACTAGTTTCCCGTACGGGTTCCTCATCTGATGCCTAGTACAGCACAATCATGATGGTTTAGTGCCTCTCAGGACTACTAAAGTATGGCAAAGATGGCGCGAAAGTCCAACTCTCTTGCCCAAGCGAACCATGATTATGGGATCAAGCCTTTACTTTGTCAACACCATGCACGATCAATCCCAACCACAGCAAGGAACCTGGCCCCCGTCCTTGTTGCAATCCACGGAGATGATGCAGATTTGTTGATCCTTGTTCACCAATCCGTCCCCATCATCCTACCAGAAAGGGGGAGGGGGGTCCCAGGTAGGTAATTATTTTCGGGATCCCGATCGTTGAGTGTTATCAAGTGTACGGTAAGAGAAATAATGCTGATTGATTTGTTCTTCTGCATCGCTTCCCTCAATCTCCCATTCGCCGGACGAACATTCTGCTGTGACCCTCCTCGTAAACTTGATTGGCCTCTCCTCCTCCCCAGTCTAAAAGACCTCGTGGCATTGACAGCTGCGTGGCTTGAAACGGATGGGAGAGGGCCACCCAGCCAGTCGGTCATGATTTCCTACTAGCATCGGAATGGGGCCAAAGGCTTTTGCGGCAGACAAGAAGGGGAAACTCGGCCCCGGGGAAATAGGACCCCCAGCAAAACTCAACGCGAGGGATGAATTTCTTTCGGCCGGTGGGTGCCATAGGTTATGTACTCCATACTCCATAGTGTACCTGACATCGGTTCATACTTTATTCAACGAGCCGAGCAGTCCAAGGGTCGTAAGTTACTTACAGTACTAGTCGCTCATGCGCTGGGTCCCATAATTTCCAGATGTACTGAGTCAAACACATCAGTGCCCACAGATCCATTGTGGCAAACACGGACAAACCCACCCTGCTACACTCCAGTCTTCACCCCCAGACCCCAGACTTCTTTTCTCTCTCTCCTGATCTTCAACCCCCGATGCTGGTACATGTAGTACCCACCAGGATAAGAATCCTGATAACTTTGTCCTTACCTCACGGAGTAAAGTTTTGGTAGAACATGATTCGCTTGTGTCCAGTCAATCCCTACCTACACCTTTGTCTCTCCATGCTTGGGAGGTATATTGCTTTTTATTTCTCCTCTCTAATCGAGGAGAAGAATGAAAGACGATCATGCATGATGTCATGAACACATCTAGAAGATTGCGTGTGGTATACCATGATAGAAAAAACGAGTCCTCAGGACAAGCTCTAATTGTCCCATCCATCACATGGTTGAGGGTCTAGTCTACTCGGTACCTAGGGCCCAGTAGTCTTCACTGGGCATCCATTATTGACATCCGGCCCTAGCGCCAACCACTGTTCGACGGTCCACGGTGCAGTGGGCGCCTATCAAAAGAAGACCTACACCTACGGACCTTCGGGACCGAGACCCA